AATTAATATTTAAACTAATTGAAAATAATACAGGGCCCCAATTAATTTTCATATTCATTAAATGTATCAAGGTTATTTTGAAATAAATTAAATAAATATTATATTTTTATTTTTAATGCAAATATTTTGTTTAATTTACATATATAATTAAATTTTTATTTATTTTTTTTTTGTTTCCTTAGTTATTCTTGTCATAACAATTCACAATTGAATTTATTTTCCTCCTAAAGGCAACTTAATTTTATTAGTTCCTTTTGCAGTAGGTATTTTAAATAGACCACCACCACCCCCTGAAATGTAATAATTTTTTATAAAAATTTAATATATGCATTTGGTTATACACTGATAATTTTTTTAAACATTATAAAAATCCTTAAATTTAATAATATTTCTTTTTATTATTTTTATCATACCTCCTCCGGCAGCTACTTTTTGAGTTAATGCACAGCATATACTCAAACAAAAGAAGGCAATGAATAACAAAATCCGCATTTTTTGGAACTAGATTTGCAAGTACCTTCAAAAAAATTTAAATTTAAACTAAAATTATTCACAGATATTTTTTCTTTATATATAGAATCGTTATATCATTCGAGAAACAATTATTCAGAAGTTTATATTATCTAACAAAAAACAAAAAAGAGCAACATTTGTATGTGTTCTACAATTTTCTTCTGTCCTTTTTTCAACAGTCGAACGCTATTAAATGAAACTATACAAATCAAACGTATTAGTGAATCCAACAATAGCCGTATCACTTAGAAAAATGATAGTAAAAATAATATTAATTGAATATTATGAATTATTTGTCTTATATAAGAAGCCATTTGGCAATTATTCTAGGATATTTCATCCATTCATTTTTTCCAAATATTTAAATCAGGAATCAATCAATTATTTTGGTTTGTGTTAAACTAAATTTTTTTAAATGATTTGCAAATTATCCAATTTTTAGTGTTTTGAAAATCTGTGGCTTCATAATTAGTTTAAGTGAATACATATATTTTGAGGTATTTTTTGGTTTTTTTTTTAATAATTACATAGTTATTTAGCAGAAATCATATTATTTACAATTATACCATGTGTGCAAATATTATTTCAAACAAAATTTAAATGTGTTTGTATTATGTACAAGAAACGTACTATATCTTTCTACATATGGAATATCTCATCATGATTTTAAACTCACATAACACACGGTTTATATGACGAGAAGTAAAATGACGCACTGAGAATTTTACGCAATATAAGCAAAGAGACAAATAAGTAATTTTAATAATAATTAAAATAATACTTAATTTATAATTATTTAATAAAAACTCAATTCTATACAGGCTATAATTTATTGGGGAAAATTAAATTTACGTCATTGAAAATTGAAAAAAATATACGAAAATATGTAAATTAAAATAAAAAGCATTGCATTTTGTCTTCCACGGCAATCCTAAATCTACGAACCAATGACAATGTGGCGATCATCAACCGAACAAAAACCATCAACTCGATGTTATTAAGCACAGAAAAAACTAGAAAGAGTGCTTTAATAGGAACTTTACATTTTATTTCGGGAACAATAACTCACATTCTTTTTCACAAAATTTTTCAATGATACTCCACCAATTAAAGAGATGCGCCTGAGAGAATCTCTAACAATATGACTCAAGAAATCAAGTGATGCGTTTAAGAGAATAAAAGTTTTTCTACATACATACTTTTTTGTTTATTATTGGTTTATAATATATGACCATTATCATTATTAAAACTTTCCTTCCAATATAACACATATTATGTATGTACACCTGTATGATTTATTATGCTATTTAGAATATTATGAAAATAAAGTAAATTTTGAAAAAAAAAAAATTTCAATATTTTTCTTTGATAAAGAAATATAACACGCTTATTTAATTGCAAAAACCTTTTCCTTTGTTAAATAATTTAGTGAGTAATTTAATAAAAGCTCATGCTAGACACGTTTTTAAATAATTTAAATTTAATACGTATTGCGTTTAGAATATATACATAAAAAACTTTTTTAAACAATTGGGGAACTTAAAACCAACTACTTCAAATGTTTATTATTCATTTCAAATTTTGAAAATTAGTGTTTTCCCATATGTTAAAAAAAATAAATATGTAGAATATAGATAAATAAAAAAAGAAATTGTTATACTAAAATTATTTAAACACAATTTTCATATTTCAACTATTACAATGGAAGTTTACATAAACACATATTTTGTGTAAGTCCAACTTTTATGTAAACGCAAACATGCTTAAAGAAGGATCCAATGCGATTTTGTTGAATTGCTTTTGAGAAATATAATGTGAAAAAACTAATTGCTAATATCTTTTAATAGCTAATAGCTTTTACTTACATTCCAATAAAAACATAAAAGAGATTTCGGTTTTCGTTTTTAGATGTATACGCCTATACCATGTGGACGGAAATATTTTGCTTACCAAATTCCTTTTTTACGACATGTATTCCAAATATCACTACTTTAAAATGAGTTTGTAAGAAAAACTAATGTCTTTGTTAGTAGGTGAAGAACTATTTCGACGTTTCTAAACCAATTGAACAAATCAGGAAATTTTAATCTTCTGGAGTTGCATCTTCTGAGTTGGGTCAGGGATATTAATTCCGATGTTTTACCGATTTTTTAAATATTTTTCTGATTATTGTCCCATTAATAATCTTTTATAATATTCAATAACTCAATGAAGTCGAAAAACATTTAAAAGAATATTAGAAAATTAATTTACAAATTTTCTAAATGATTGAAATGTCTTTGTCTAGAATGCAAAAGTGAAAAAACTAAATACATATATACATAAATTTCTTTTAACAACATTTATAATTTAAACTTCGCCATTATCTGTAATATACTTTCACAAAAAAGTTTAAAAATGCTTTAGAATATTAGCAAAATACACTTTTTACATACCACAGATTCATAGAAGAAGCTGTTTTTACAGATTCTACGATTATTTATTATTACAGATTTTTTTTCCGGTTGTTATTATCGAATACATCACAACCGCAAGTAAATAACCAATAATTCTTATATATTTTCAATTACTTCAGTTTTTTTATTAGGCACACAGCTTACTTTTATTTTTCTTTAATTTCCCTTTACTCAAAGAAATAAAATTACTTTATTTATCATTACTAACTCAAAAAATTATGAATGAAAAAAAAAAAAACAATTTTTTTTTTTAATTTTCTATTATTATTCCTTATGCAAGCAATCCAATGACTTTTGAAAGTAAGAATTTACATCAATAGTGTAACAAAGATACTAAATATACTATATTTTCAAATCTTATTTTATTAATTGTATAATAAATTTTTTTTTTGTTTTCTTACCTTTTTAAACTAATATCTATATAAATACTATTTTATAATAATAAATTGGATAGAGCAATAACAAAATCAATTTTAAGAAAAAAAAATTAAAATTTTAAAAATTAAAACAAGAAAATGAAATTAAATTTATTAAAATACTATAAAATCATCCTTTCGATTAAATTCCTACAAAACGTCTCTTATTAGCTTGCAACATTTATTTCTTTTAATTTCTCTAATAATATCAAAATAAAATCATTTTATAAAAGGTTGGTTTTTAAAAATAAATTCACACATGTAATAGTTATAATGAAATCAAATTTATTTTAAAATTGCATCATAATTTAAAATTATTTATACAAGTTAGGTTCCTTACTTTAAACAATTTAAATAATGATTTTCATTTTCACAATCTTGCAATAAATATTTTCCACTTTTTCACATCATTATAACTTGATATTGCCTAAACATTATCTACCATTTCTATCTTTAGTTTTTTAATTAAAATGAATGAATGATACCTAAAAGAAATTATAAATTACAGTGTAATAGAATATATTATCTAAATTTTATCTAATTTCACTTATTTATCTGTAATAATTGCTTTATATTTTTTTGAATTCCAATGGTTTTGATTTAAACATTTTTATTTATATCTCGTTATTAAACCTATAGTTCACTTACTTTATATTTAGTATGACTCTATAGTATTTTAAAAAATTAACAAACTTTTTCCAAATTTTATTTTTTTTATTTGCAAATATTTGCTTTTATTACAGATTTCATAATTTTATTTATAATAAGAATTTATATTAAGTTGGTAATTTAAAAAATTTTGAAAATATTCAAAGGATTTACAAATCAAAATACATATCGAAAACTCTGATATTTTGTTGGATCAAAACAAAAATTCAAAATAAGTAAATTAATTATTAAACTTATTTATAATATTAATTTGAATTAAAATTTAGCCTGATTTTTTAAAATAATGTAATATAATTAAATTTATCGCTAGTACATGCAAATAAAAGGCAAATATTAAAATAATTACTTATAAGTATTTGAAGTTTTTTTGAAAAATTTAATACATAATTAAATTTTTAGAAAAAATTATTACTTATAAGTATTTGAAATTAATTTTTGTAAAATATAATTTTAATATGTATTTATATACAATAGCTTCACATATACAGAAAATCATTAAAAAAAATTAGATATTTATAATTATTATTATATGTAGTTAGAATAAAAATATTTAAGTTAAGTTTAAATAAAACAAGTAAAACATATTAAAAATATTTTTGTTTTTTTAGTGGTTTTATAAATATTACAAAAAAGAGAAATAAAAAAATCATTTAAAATTCTTATTCAAATTTTTATGTTTAATATTCAATTATTTCTAGTCTATTATAACTTTTATATAATTCATTATCAATAGAGCTTTATGTAATTCTTTTTTACTTTAACATATACTATAAAATTTTTTAAAAAATCTTTTCAACTACAGTATATAATGATGTTTGAAGTTGAATGCTCTGTTATTTTTGAGAATCGCATACTCTTTTTTTCTGACTCTTTTTTTCTAAAAATGTAATAATAAACTTAATTTTAAATCTGTTAACATTTCATTGTTTATTATTTTTCAACTCACATTCTGATCATAATTTTTTTAAGTAAGCAACACATTTAACATCACTGCTCACTTGTCTTGAATTTAAAATACCTAGCTGTTTATTTTTCTGTCGGAATTTCTTAACATACGCTTCAATCAGATTTTTGATTTTATGAGGATTTATTTCTCCAGATTTACTGTGACAAATCTGAAATTTTTGTTTTTAAATGTGATTTTTATTAATCTGTACATTTTAAATTTTTCAAATATGACGAAAAAATAACAAACGTAATATAATACCTTTGGTACAGATCGTCTTAATATTTCTTTGTAATCCTCTTTATTAATATGCTTCCTATTATAATGCGGTTTTAGTACTAGTTTAACTTCATCAACCACACGTTCTTGTCTATTTAACTTCCTTAAGAACTACAGATTAAAGAAAAAAAAAACATATTATGAAAATTAATGAAATTAGTATCGATTGTATTTAATGAAATTAAAATAAAAATTAACATTTTATAAGAGCAAAAACTAGTAAACCAAACAACACAATTATATTTGATACCAGAACCATTTCTCATAAAGAGTTTGCTATTAACCAAATGTTATATTTAAGCTTCATCACTTTCAAATTTTTATTCAAACAAATTTTATTTATTTCATTAATATGCAAGTAGCTGAAATTTTTGTTTAAATATCTAAAACGAGCTATTAAATAACAATAAGTGGTGCCAATTTCGCAAAAATACATATACTATGATACATGGATATTTATTTTCTTCATTTTTTTGTTTCTTGTATTCATATGCTATAAAAATATACACTAATTTTTTAGAATTATACAAAGATTTTTAGAGCAGCTGTGGGAATTGAGCGGCAAATTTAAAACATCTTTGAACTGTCTTAATAAGTTTCAAGCACTATAAAAATGTAACTTGTAATTGGGCATTTCATTCGCCAATATCATATCTATGTCCAAATATTTTATCAATTACAAAAAAAAAACTAGAAAGTTACCCACTTTGTTCTAACAAAATTTTAAATAAATCTTTTCATAGCACGTACCCTTAACGTTTTTAAGACAACAATTTAAAATTGCGATATTTTAAGAATTTGAATTGAAAAAAGTAAATAGCCCTTTCTTTAATTATCTACGGTTTAATAAAATTTCACAATAAAAAAAAAAATAAAAATTTTTTACCTTATCTTTCACAATTAACTCAACAGCAGAACTTGGAAGATCATCATATATTTTGATGTTGTCCTCTTCATTTGGTTTTCCTGGTACCTTTGCAACTGAAATTTTTAAAAGTTTGTTATTTTAATATCATATTTATTTTTGCTTTTTAAAATATAAGTTAACAATTTTCTTTGAAGTTCCCAATTTTTGAATTTTAAATAGATTAAAAATTAAATTAACATTTTTATTAGTAGTACATAAACATATTCTAGTGGTACTCAGAAATTATTCGAGACTTTTATATGGTTATTAATACATAACATTCTAAAAAATTCAAAAGTAAAACAAAATCTCAACTGATTGATTCTAAAGAAAACCACAACCTAGTTTGACAAACAACTTCCACTAAATATAATTCAACTTAAAATGTTTTCTTTTTCTCAGGTTAATAGTGTTATAACGGAGTTGATTAATTTCTGTGATTGAAAATGTATTTATTTGACATGGAACTAATTTATTCAATACTGCTACATTCAAGAGGGTCATCCCACAAGTACTCGTAGTTTTAGTAGCAATAAAAATCCAAATTACAAGTTTGCAATAAATCTCAAAACTTACAGACGTTAGAAACAGCTCTCACGGCCCGTAATTTAAGAGTAAGATTTTGGATTGATAATGATTATTTACGATCAAAGTTAATTCAGAAAATTGTTCTCGGAGAAGTTTTGAGATTTCCGCCTTTAAAAAACAACTTTTTATGTAAAAATCATATAAAAAACGAGAAAAAATAGAGTTGACCTTGTCAACTCTGTGATACCCGTACGAATTTGTTATCCTATGCTCGAATAAATAAGCCATAACCGACTATGGAACAGACAATGACTTTAAGTTGCCGTATTACCATATTAATTTATGTAAAATTTCAGTACTGTGTTTTTCAAAATACTGTGTGCCAAATAACTTTTAAAGTTGTACGACAGCTACCAGAAAGAGCCAAGCAATTTCAACGACTTTTAACAAACACATTGGCCCTACAAATATATTCACTTGTGTGAAATTTCAATACCATAGCTTTTATAGTTTCTGAAATATAGCCAAATAACTTTTGAAGTTGTATGGCAGGTACCAGAGGGAGCCAAGTAATTTGAACGACTTTTATCAGACACATTAGCCCTACTAATATATTCGTTTGTGTGAAATTTTAATACCACAGCTTTTATAGTTTCTGAGATATAGCCAAATAAATTTTGAAGTTGTATGGCAGCTACCCGAACCGGGACCCCGATCATGTCGGGTTCTGGCTTTTTGAATAGGGTTCTGGCACTTACTACAATAAATCATTTATGAAAATTTGGTGAACTTAGCTCAATTGGTTTTTGAGTTGTCGTTGGGACGGACGGACGGACAGACAAAGCTAAATCAACTCAGAATTCGACGCTGATCAAAAACATACACTTGAGTCTATATCTAAGACCGTTATTTCTTAGCGTTACAAACGGTAAGGCAAATTTAGTATACCCTTCGAACATACGTTCGTACGGGTATAATGACATGTTATTTACAATAATACATAAATTAAGTTCTTTGTAAACAGCTTAAATTAAATGTTTACCAAAATGCAAATATCCGCCAATTTTAAATATAAGTATGAAGAAATTTTTCAAAATTACTTCAGTAAAAGTGGTACACTAGAAATTTTAATAACAAAGACTTCAAAACATTTTTCGAAAACATGAGATTGAATTTACGAAATTTGAATTCATTCTTTTTTCATTTAAGTTTATGAAATTCATTGAATTCATGAATTTATTAAATACGTTAATGAACATAAGTAACGAAAGGAGAATTTTTAATTTTTTGAAACCCTTTTAAAAACTCTTCTTTATCTTTAAAACCGAGAACTATACATAGATAATTTAAGTTCGTTATTTCGGTCAATTCTTTTTCCTTTCCAGAATCCTTTTCGAGAGCTGAAATTTTGGAATACCGATTTTTAAAGCAGTTTTCGTATAACAGGTTTTCAAAGCACTCTTCGAAAGTTAAGATATCGATTTAGAACTAAGGCGTCTACCAAATTAAAGATTTGACGCCAACTTGAATTATTTTAAAATTTTGGTACAAGCAGAATGCACTGACCTATAATAAAACTAAAAGTTTGGACTAGTATATAATTATATACACTATGGGATAGTAAATACTTCATTTCTGTTTTAACGTTCCGGACAAGAACTTATAGTAGATTCCAATTCGAATCTTAACAGTATACAACTAAGTTAAATTTGACGAGAACGGTTAACATCAGTACCACATCAGACCTTGCACAAATGAACAGATTGGTACAATAATTTCAACGCACCGTGAAACACTAACTAATCAGTATAAAACAGGTAGGTACAATGACCTGTCTGTCACTCATATTATTGATATCAGGGTATCTGTAGAAGATCTAAAATATTCGCAGCCGAATTTGTCAACTTAAATTTTCAGTTGATTCATGAAATGTTGTATATGAATCACACTTCATATTATATTGTTCAGAAAACGGAATATGTATAAAATGAATTATTTTCATCTAAGAAAGAAAAACATATATGTATACCAAGTACATAGGATTGCAAATGTCATCGAAAATGCGCTGGAAACCAAAAAAATTTGCTCAGCTGCTTTCTTGGATGTTAGCCAGGCATCTGGCAATTTGTGGCACAAAGGCCTTATCTGCAAACTACAGATTCTACCAAGTAGGATATGCGCAATATTAATATCTTACTTTTGCAACATTTAGAGTCAAGCAGAAAGATGAATATTCGGACCTGAAAGCTATTGAAGCAGGTGATTATACACTCGGAATATATCGCAGACAGCAGTATTTACTACAGCCACTTTCGCAGATGACAAGGCAATCCTAGCTCAGGGTAGCACGATGCAGCAAAGTTCGGCAAAAGCTCAAAAATTGCTAAACGAAGTTATGTTATGGATGCGAAAATAGAGAATATTGGTGAATGAAGGCAAATCAATGCACGTTAATTTTACAAACAAATCAATCAATAATATTATAATAGTACTCAACAGCCGACCCCAGCCGTATGCCAATAAGGTGAAATATTTAGGTACTTTGGACGCGAAATTCCGCTGGAAAGAGCACATCAAAAAGAAAAAAGAACTCTTGAACATTAAAGTTAAAAATCTAAATTGGCTACTAGGAAGCCATTCGGAAAAAAATGTTCACAACAAACTGATTTATAAACAAGCTATAAAACCACTTCGGGCTTACGGGATACAGCTCTGGGGTTGTGCGAAGCGAACAAATTGCCAATCTATACAATCCATCGAAAGCAAGATCTTATGCAACATGGTTATGGTTAAGGCTCCTTGGTACGCAGGGGAGAAAGAAACTCGCAAATACTCAGTGAAACACCAAATTAGAATCCAAAGTCACCAGAATAACGAAATGCGTGAAATAATAAGTAGCAGCGCCTAAAAAAAAAGAGGCCCACCGACCCAATCTAGGGATGTAAAAGAGTTACAATTAGTGAGTAGTTTTCCCCGCTCAACTTTTAAGCGAAAGAATAATTGCTCGTTAGGTTCAACCTGAATTTAGTTGCAATAACCAACAATTAATAAAAAAAAAAATTAGTATGTGCATATACTCGTATCATGAAAGCAATATTCAATTCAAAATATTTTTCCATCCTAATACGTTGTTCCACTGTGTAAAAATAAACAAAGCTGTATAATAACTTTTGCCTGTTCTCAGGTTTATTATACTCGTACGCGTTGCTATAATTAGAAGAACTCTTTTAATTCATTTTCATATAATCGATAAAGAATATTTAAAAGTAAAAACTCCGAGAGAACGATGAATAGCTTTTACAATATTTTCCAACTTTCATTAGTTACCAAACATTATAGGTTTCTAAGTATAAAAAAAATCCGTAAATTGTATATGGGCAAGTTAAAACAAAGTAGACTTTTTAAAAACGGTTTTAAATTGCAGGTTACTCAACTTTTAAGTGAAAGAATAATTGTTCCAAGCCAAATAAATGCAATTCAAATTAAATTCATCGAAGCACAAAACTGCCGCCGCACGAATATTACTAAAGTGCCACAACAGTTGGCTCGAAGTACATACATTAGGCAGCATTCTTGTCACAGGTTCATCCGTCGCATAATAACTTATATTAAAAAAATCTGTATATCTCAAATTCCTGGGTAATCCTTAAAACAAATTTTACAGAAGTAATTAAGAATAATCAAAATCCTAACGGCAAGTTGATTACCAAAAATTATATCAGTCACACTACTCGACGATCTATTCTTGCTGTTCGTTCTTGCGCGTTTATATATTTTTTGACCTTTCACGTATCATTAGTTGCAACTCTCAACCACACAATTTTTCGGTTTTATTTGCTTTTCAAATGGAATGAACTAAAACCCACTTCTCAAGGATTAATATGGAAAAATCATTGAATAAACAATTTAAAGTTTCGCCCTTTCATAAGATCTATCGGAAAAAGCACCCTCCAACGAGGTTAATCAACTTTTGCTTCACTGGAAGAGGAAGGCTACAACATATTCACTTACTTTGTGACGGCTGTCTCAGGAAGGTACCTCCATGCCCTAAATGGGTTGATCTAGAGAGCTCTAATATGAAATACCGAGGAAATTTTTTTAAAACTTAATGATAGAAGTTATTATTGTTCCCAAAAGCTAGGATCTTGGAATCTTGGAGCTGATTTTGGGCTTTAAACGAATGAAGAAGGTTAGTATTACACTTTAATCTTATAAAACCCATTAGCAGAAGGGGATCCTTGGGCGGTGCATGATTCTTTGGCTTTACACCGCAATGTTAAGACGAATGCTCAAATGACGCGTTTTGGTATATGCTGAATACAACAATTTTGAACTTATCCTAAGGAAGGTAGTGATGCGCATGAAAACTCCTTCCGTTTGCGTTCAACTCCCACACAAGACCTGAAGATGATATTTCAGCTTCTTCCAATCAATATTCTGGGAAAGTAGGATCGGTCGTGTGTTTGAGGACGGCATTACAACAACTCGGTGGCCCCATCGGATACACGACCAGGCTTATATATGGTGCGCAATGTTCCCCCCATGCTCACTTACAAAAGACTTTGTTCCAATCAAGATAAACATGGGAAGATGATGAAAACACGTGGGGAGGAACCTCCCCACTTTTACACTGATGAATCCTAACTGAATAATAAGGTTGAAGCAGGAATCTATTTCAAACAACTTGATATGGATATCTTTTCCTTTTCCAGACAGTGCCTTTCAGGCGGGAGTGAACGTAGTTTTTCACTCACTGGTGGGAATTGTTATATTCTGTAAGTGTAAGAGTAAGTTACGGTAAAATATTTTTAACGCGTCAGCAGCAAAGAGCGTCAGCTTTGTAAGAAATTTTTCCATGACATTTCGGACTGTACGTAATTGACATTACTTGGGTAAGAGTGCAATTAAAAGGAAGCTACAGATCGGACAAGCTCACAACGGTACTACTCTTTAAGTCCTACCTGAGAAGGACTTGGAAATGCATCTCTTCACATGTAAATTGCCGCCAATGACTGATTGATTCATAGATTTGAATGAAAATCAGATAACGATTGGCGATTTTTATGTGTTTTTTTCTTGATATTTACAAATACAACGCCCAAAAATCAATTTTGGTATGAATCCACAAATTGTCCACCTCATAAAAAACTCTTAATTAAAAGATCATATTTAGTTCGACATTTTAGTTCAGTTTACTCTTTAATAACCCTCCGATAATAGTATAGTAACAAAAACTCGCGTCTCGAAATTTCTTATAACTTTAAATAGTAAACCATTTTTAAATACAACATAATTCTTGAATTTATATCATAATTTAAATTTGTCAAAACCATGACATAACCTCAACCAATTTTTGTATCATCAACAATCCTGTCTGAGCTGTTGTTCTTTGTAGAACTAAAAGCGTCGTTTGTTGAAGCAATAAAGACTACTAATAACTTGTTAAACACCAGAAGTGACAATACACACATCGAACTGTGTTAAGAACAAAGAAAGAAATACTCGAAATATCTTATATATATGAAGCTTATATTATATAAAAATCTTTAAATGTCTTATTGTTGTCTTATAACAAAATTTTTAAATTAATGGCCTTAATTTAAAATAAATGACTTTAAGAAATGATCTTAAGAAAAAATTCTCTTGGAATCCTTGATAAAAATACACTTCTTTAATCAAATTGTAGAAAAAAGTGTGTTGTAAAAAAACCCTTTTCGAATAATATTTGCAAACTACAAAATGTGTAACTCTTTTCTCTTAGTTCTTTATAATCGACCGAATTGCATACAATAAGGGAGGTTATGTGATGGCAACAAATTTTGCATATCGAGGTTTCGGGGAGAACCCACCTCTTCATGATAGGAAAATGTAAATAAACTTGTTTTAGCAACCTGTCGGTCTGTCTGCACACGCGACTATGTCAACTTTTACTAATTTAGACAATAAACATTGCGGTTGGTTATATGCTGACCACATTAGATTTTTTTTTTTTTCATATTTCTCCACGATCTACGTTCTGTGATAACGCGTAGAAAAAATTAAGGAAAATGTATCTATTGAAACTGAGTTAGAAGAGACATTTATGCAAATGTAGGCTATGTAAAGTTGTTGAATTTATTTTTACATAAAATTTTATAAATACGACCAATTTGAGATGTATTCAACTTTTATATACTCATATATTTTTATAGAAATCATAAATCTGACTCTAGGTTTCCAAATTGCAAATTGAATAATGTTTGAACGAAAGAAACATTATTTGAAACAAAAAGTTCTTGTTCATTCTTGAAATTAAAAAATTGTTTCCAGTTGTCGAACAAGAAAAAAAAAAGTTTACACCACAATTAACACGACGAATTAGAAGAACTAATTTCAACTGTATTTTAAAAAAATTTTAAAGTAATTTCAAAAAATGCAAAAATTTTACCTGGTTGTTATGGTTGTATAATATTAAAGATCCTGTTGTAAATTTTTAATGACATAACATTGCACTTTTAATTATTGCACTATTAATTATTGGTTTTCAAATGATAATGGAAATTTAAAAACAAATAAAAAATCTAGTATTCGAAGACAAATAAAATAAACTATAACTAAACAACTTGAAAAACAATTCACCTCTTATTACATTAACCTGAAAAGTGTAAAATTATTTTTATGCATTTGAAACCCACCTTTAACTGAAGTCTTTTTAACGTTATGATATCGCTGTTTCTTTGTGTTGGAAGGTTTATAACTTGGTTTATAACCTGGTAATCTTGAATAACCAGCACCACTGACTGGAATCGGAGAAGTACTACCGAACAAATTATCAAAAACATCACCAGTACCTGCACCACCACTGCCAGACATAACTTTTTGTGCCGCTTTAGTCTTAGTGTTTCTACTTTGACGAAGAGGAGGTTCTGGAGGTGGTTCAAACAAGTCATCGAAATCAGCCGACCCAGGTGAATACGGACTTTCAATTTCATTTAATAAGTTAGCAACAATTGTATTTGCAACATTATTTTCATCATTTAGGCGTTGTTTTGTGGATTTTGAAATTTGTGATGTTTTATTCTGTTGTTGCTGTGAAATACCAACTGGATTAGTTTGAGTTGGACTCGAAATAAATGGTATACTGGTATTTGTTATTTTTACTGGGTTAATAACAATATTTGATAATACTGAAACACTTATTGTTTTAGCTGGCATTTCATCAGTTAGATTGTCATTATCAAGTTTCTGCTGTGTTTGAACCAGCTCTTGCGATTGTTGTGGAACTCCACTATTACTCATTAAAGACATAACCAAATCAGATGGATTGTCCCTAATATTATCATCGTCTACTGTTTCATTATTAATATTCATATTTTTATCTGCCATTGTGGTGTGTATGTGATGATCCACAGAATCTTGCCTTAATGGCGACGATGTTTCCGAAGGAGACTTTGTAGGATCAAATGGATCATAAACATCAGGGGATCGAGGGCCAGAATCTGGCGGCGTATTCGGACCAATTTTATTCATATTTTGTTGCTGTTCTTGTTGTTGTTCTAATTCGATTTGCTTGTTTATTTGTTGACTTAACTCGTCTAGGTTGTTTTCTGATAATTGAGCTAATTGATCTTGTTGATCTTGTTCAATATCCATATGTTCTTCATGAAGAGGATTTCTATTTCTAAGTTGTTTTTTGCCAGCTAAAGAAAACTTAATCAATGGTGGTTCGGGTGGTGTTTTAGGGCCCCCAATTTGTTCATATGAATCATTAATCATATCATGCAAGTTACCACTTGAATTTAGGCCGATATCAACCGATCGAGTAGGTGAAACATGAACAATTTCATCATTACGACGTCTATGGTATATTTCTATTTCAGCATCTGAAGACATACCATTCATAACATCATTTCTATCATTTTCGTGTTGGCCTGTTGTTAAAGAATTTATTTGCCTACGGGGATCTACCCGCTGAGTTTCATTATCGCTATCAGTTAGTACAATTACATCTTTAGGAGATTGAATAACTTGGAATGGTGATCGGTCTAAATCAATTATAACTACTGGTTTAGCATCAATTTTTCTCCGCTTCTTCTGCCGCTCGTTTTGTTTTACACCTTTATCTTTTTTCTTTTTTCTTCCGGTTCCATCTCTCATAGGAGAACCAATACGTCTTGCTGATGATACTATTTCTTCCCTCGTAGGTGGTAAAGTAACCACTGTTGTTTGTTGAGGTTGTTGCTGTGTCCCATCTTTATTAAAGCTTACGCTTACTAAAATGTTATCACCGGAAGCAAATACTTCCTTTGATGGTGCAACTGGACTATCTTTCCGTTTCCGCTTGTCCTTTTTATTTTGCAATTTCAATTTTTCAGCTTTTTTCTTTTTGTCTCGTTTCTTCTTAGAATTTTTATTTTTTATCATTACTGTCAAACCTCCATGATTTGGAGAAAGGGGTGGTGGCGTCCAAGATTGATCATTTCCGTTTTCAATAACATCTTCATGTTGGTGAGGAACTACATAATCTGGGCTTGGTGACCATCTTTCTGAAATAATTTGATTACGTTGACGTTTTCTGCCACGTGGACCCTGAATTGAAAATTCTGGAGTAAATTCTCTTATATCTTGTGGCGGAGGAGACTCAATTTCTTCATTTTGTTCTGCATTGCGTTTACGTTTTCTCTTATTTTTACGCTTTCTTTTGTTCAGCTTTCTGTATTCGGGAGAGACACTCTGTATTTGAGGCGTATAATGTTTTGGTAACGGCGAGTAAGACATTGATTTACGGCGATTTGGCCTTCTAGGAGGAGAAATTTCGAAGTTATTCATAGGACGCCGTCCACGAGGTGCACTATTTGAACGAGAGCACATTCTCAGTGGTGTACGTGATCGTCTGCGAATAGGTCTTACTCGCGGTGATCTTGAGTTTCGACGGCGCCTTGGAGGTGGTGGCGAAGGTCGTGGTGGACTTAAAGATAATGATATACTTGAGAGTCTACGACCTCTTCTAGGAGATTTTGGTCTAGAGTTTGATCGCGATCTTGACGTGGATCTGGTTTTTGATGGAGATGTTGTTCTTGATCTAGATTTTGAAACTGTTCTTGATCCTGATTTTGAAATTGATCTAGATATTGATTTTGACTGTGATCTTGTTCTGACTGAACGGGATCTGGATCGATTCCGTCGAAAACTTCTGGATCGACTACGATTTGCACTTCTTGGCCTTCTAGAAGTATCTCTTCCAAATCTATCTTTAACAGGTCGACTTTGCGTCCCAATAATGTCCCGAACATTATATCTTTCGATTTCTTTACGCTTCAAACGATTTCGCCTTATTGGTGACATATTGCGACGATTTCTATTTTCATTGAATTTCCGGTTTTCTTTTCCTCTAGATCTACTTCGAGAGTTATTTCTAGACCTTGACCGAGTTTTCCTTTTATTCTTATTTAGAATTTCGCCACGATAATTTCTATCTCTTTGATTTTTTAACTTTTTGAAAGACTCATTGCGTTTAATTTGTTTCACATTTGATCTTTTATTCGAATTAATTTTCTTTTTTCCTATACCAACATGTTGGTCATTACCCAATTCTTCTTCATCAGATATAATTAATTCAGTATCTATTTCAGGTTTGTCTGTCTTATTTTTATTCTTACTCACTTCAACATTTTCAGGTGTATGATTTTCATTTTCTGTTTCAGATTGTTTCGGTGTAAATTGCTTTTCATTGTCGTTTTGATTTTCAACAGATTCATTTAAAATTTCATCCTCATTTTTTTCATCTAAACAGGGTGTATATGAACGATCAATTTCTTCATCATTTTGCTCATTAATATTTTTAAAATCATCATTTTCGTCCTCTAATTGCGTATCATTTTGATCAGAATCTTTACTTTTTCCTTTATCATTTTTCTCCGTCTCAGGATTTTTAGTAATATTTAATTCTTCCCAATCGCTGTCGTATAAATCAAGAACGTTTTTCTTTTTTGATGGACTGTTGACACTTGTGGCGCCAGATTCATTGTTAGCTTGATCTGTTTCTACGCTTTCATTATTTGATAAACAAGTCGCATTTTGATTTTCATTCTCTTTAGATTCTTTGTCACTTTTATCTTCGTCTTCATTGGTATTTTCCTCAACATTTTCTTCTACATTATTTTCTTCATTATTTGTTTCATCAAAAATTTCTTCGTCTTCACCAGTTGGATCATCTGGTTCATATATTGCTGATTCATTCTGTTTTGAAATATTCACTTGATCATCTGATTGTTTTTTTGACGCAGAATCAATAGAATCTGGTATATCATCATCGTCACCCAGTTGCACTAGATCTTCAGTTTCGTGGGGTATATCATCGACCTAAAGAGTTTTGTTTTTGTTTTTTTTTTTTTGTGATATGTCCAAAAATAAAAAAGAAAATGTAATATTATGGTTAGTAACCATTAGTTTTGACAAAATTTTGTTTTCTTTCTTTATGCTTTTTAATTCTAAGAAAATATTAACTATTCCACCTACAATAATTTTAAGAAAACTATAGATGTCTCTTTAAAATTTACACGATTTTGAAATCTCAATCAATATCTAAATTAAAGTCGAAATCATGTTAAAATTATTACATTTTTCCGAATTCAAATTATATGAGCGCAGTGTTAAAACATTTTTAGCATTCTAAAAAATCTAATTTAATGATCAATTAAGTTGTCACTAAATAAAACCTTTTTGTCTGGTAGAACAAAAACTTGCTAAAAAAAATAATAAATCGCCTTCCGAAAAAAGAAGATAAAGTATTATAAAAAAAAAAACATTATTTTGTTAATCCGATTTAATTGCACATTTGATTATGATTTATTTGTGCAAAATTTATATAAATTTACTTTTCTAAAAATTTCTCTTTTTGTCTAAAATGATTATATAAAATTAATATTGCTTCGTTTTATTTTAATTGAAAACTGCTTTTAATATTGCTGTTTTAATTTATAATATTTTTTCTTTATAAAATATTTTTGATAAATATTTGAATCTGAAACCCAAAAGGAGGAACTATATGTATAGACTGTGTTATAGTCATATGCATTATAATTTTAATATTAAAGTTACAAAAAAAATTAAAATGAAAAAACCTATGCATGTATTTACAAAAAAACTACTTATTTAATTTTTTAAACTTTTATTTAGTTTGTAATTGCTTGTTGCATACGTACACAGACAGTCTTTTATCAGTCGTTTTGAACTTAAATCAAGTGACTGGGTTTTATGTCATTTCAAAATTATTACAATTCATTTCAAAATGTACTCCAGTAATATTTAGCGGGCTTTCTAAAAAAATTGTTCGAACCGATTTTCATAACCAATACGGCGGATTATTGGTATATTGAACATAATAAATGTTAGTTGTCATTTATTGGTACAATATTTTTTGCTTTATTATGGAATCATACACATTTAATATCAAATTACATTAGAATATAAAGCAAAGCAGGAATCGTTAGTTACTTTCATTTGCTCTGTCTTCTAACTAATTTCATATTAGATTTTTGCCAAAATTACCAAAAATTTGTAAATTAAATGGACATAACAGCAATATAAAATTATTTCAAGGTGTTCAAAAATTCAATGTTCAGTTAACAGCAGTTGCAAATTTCCAGGATGATGGTTTTAACATCTCTAGAAACTATTTTAGCTATTATAAACTATTAATTTTATTTGTATACATACATACATGTAAATTAGACTTCAATTCTAAAACTGTGTTGTAAATGAATCAAATTACACATTCATACATTTTAAGCCAAAAGTAGTTAAATTAAGGAAATCATTTCAAATTACAATTCGATAATATGATCGGAATTTTAAACAGACGGATTAAATAGTTTTAAATTACTTCAAAAAAAAAAAATTATTTATTTTTAATAATAAAAAAAATAAATATTTTTAAGATTTGATACGACATGTATATGTACATATTAACACTAATAAATAAAGCATTTTTGCTAATGATTTGTTAAAAATTTATAGAAAAATAAAATATTTGACGAATAAATTTAATTCGGATTAACAAAATTTCACAATATTAAAAAAAACGCACCATTTAATAATTAATAATTTCATAATAACGATGTTAACATTGTTTCTAGTTCACTAATAAATTTTATCTTTCTTGTTTAGTCTTGTTTTATAAAACAAAATAGAAAAAATTTATAACCTCTTGCTTTTGAAAAGAACTGACTGAAAGTTATGTAATTTGTATTAACTTTTTTAATATTGTCCTTCTTAATATTAATTTTTTAATACATAAAACCGATTAAAATTTTGAAAAGTACAACACATATTTATATATCATCGATTTAGTCTACCTATAAATAAACTGGAAAATTTTTCTATAAATTTATATTAAAATTTTTTAAATATTAACTGTGCAAAATAAAATTACAAATAGAAAACCTAAAGTTGTATATTTTTATATTGAAATATGGCAAGGGACTTCAAAGAAAATTGTTATTTCTAAATTGGCTTTAAAAGTAATTTATGTATATATTTATATAGAATTAAATAAGAACCCATTCCTACCTGTTCCGCATTTTTCATATTCTCGCTATTCTTTTGATTTGCAACTTGAAAGGATTCAGCTGAATAAATTGAAAAGTTTGGACAATGATCATCTTTATCATCATCATCATTATCACTATCATCACCGCCATAATCACCAGCAAGTCGATGTAAACTTTGGCTCCAGTTACCATTTGAGGAATTCAATCGTGATCCCTCAGAACTGGAATTTGGAAGTTGTGGGCCAATCATAGGTGATGGCAACTGTGGTCCAATTATAGTAGGGGTTGTAATTTCTGCATTATTTAAAGTAGATGGCAATTGAGGACCTATAACTGGTGGTGGCACTTTCGGTCCTATTATTTGTGGTGTAACTACAACTGGCGGTGGAGGAACTTGCGTATTGAGCATTCCTGGGTTAATTTGTGGTTCACCAAACATTCCTGGGGGCGGTATTCCTGTTGATATCGAAGGAGGAAGTAAGGTAGTCATAGAAGAGCCCGGTATAATTGGAGGTGGTAACAATAAATGCGGTGGAAGAGGGGGTGGTGGAGCTGGGGGTGGTGGACAACTTATTCCAACATATACTGAAGTAGAAGCTGAACTAACTTCATTAGACATACTGTTGTTATTTGGAACCGGTGGTGGTGGAGGCGGAGGTGCCACAAGCGCGGCTCTCAAATCATCAATGGTTGATGGTTGTTTAACTGCTTGTGTACCTACAGTTCCAAAGTTTTCATCATTATCATTTTCTACAAAACTTTCATCTCGGTTCCTCTCCACATTTTGATTAGAGATCGAAGAATCATTCACATTTTCACTGATGTAGTTATCATTTTCATAATTTTGTGCACGATTTTGTCCAAATACTCCGCTATTATCGAACACATTTGAGCTGTTTAAGTTAATGTTCAAATTATTATTTCTGCTATTGTTAGAGTTATTATTTCTATTATTGCTGTTATTATTATTTCGATTTTGCTGATTTCTTCGATTATTAAATCGATTATTCTGATTAAATGGTTGAAAATTTGAAGTTTGACTAAAATTTGACCCTCCAAAACTATCTCTTCTATTATTAAAACTGTTGTTGTTGGAAAAGTTTCCGTTGGAGCTCGAAAAGTTAGACATACCTCCAGTAGAATGACGATATCCAGAGGAATTAGAACTGCTTCCAGAATTTCGATAATTGGCTTGGTTGTTAAACCGGTTATTGAAATTCCCACCACCTGCATTTTGACCTCCTCCTCTATTGTACATGGGAGCTTGTGTTATTTCGCCAGGTGGAGCTACCTGATTCTCATTGATATTATTATTACCATTATTATTATTATTATTTTTATTATTATTATTGTTATCATAATTGGTTTCCCTGTTAACAGTATTCCAACAGCTTTCTATGCTGTTACTATTTCTAGGTGTAATATCATTTAATGTGTTTGAACTTTTGGCTTCTGTTCTTTTTCGTAGATGTGACGAGCTATGTATATCTGGTTTTAAATTTGCCAAAGTTTTATCGTTAAATTGAAATTTTCCATCCGAACCGACTTTTAAATTATTAATATGATTTGATTTTGTTGCATTATGAAATCGATCCTGCATATCCAATATATTTGAAAGTAAGTCAACTGGACCTGTAGCAAGACCAGCTTCAACATTTTCAATAACATTCTTGCGTCTTCTAAGTAGTGAATCCCCAAACATATGTCTTCGAACTGCTGTCTGTATTGCAGTATCTCCGTCATTATAATCAAATTGAATGTCTGCATTTTCCCCATCGGAATCAGAAAAGTATTCCAACGCATTTGAATTACCAAATAATGAGAAATTTTGCCCTTGATCAATTGGTCTCTCTTCTCTAGTAAGTGGTACTACACCAAATTGCTCCGCCATACGCCTACTAGAATATTCAGCTCTACTAAGCCTTGATTCTTTGATCTTACGTTGTTTACGTTTCCTAGCCCTACGTTTTCTGAGATGTCTTTTTGTAGTTTTAATAGCGAATTTTTCATCGAAATTATCAATATCATATTCAACAACATATGTTCTCTTTCTTCGTTTTCTACGTGATCTTTTCTTCCTATTTTTAGTTCTCGACACAGTTGTGGTTCGCTGAGTAGTTGTTGTAGTAGTAGTGGTAGTTGTAGTTATTTGATCGTTTTCTAATTGCATCCGTAGTTCCTCTCCAACCGATCGGTCTCTTGGCTCTCTTAGTGTATTACTAGAACTTCCAGGCCGTCGTCTAGACAATATACTAGCTCTAATTCGTTCACTTTGTCTTGTTCTTATTATTCTTGGCTGTCTATACTCTGATATTCTAACCCTAGTTTCGGGTATTCCCAAAGTTCGTAAATCTTCGTATAGTGCATCTAACTCATCTAGAGCTAAATCATTATCATCTTCTGTGTCAAAACAGTTGTCACAATACCAAGAACCCTCAGGCACAGAATCCAGTGGTGGATCCAAACAAAATGTATGATACCCCAAATTGCAGCCATCACATAATAATAAAATATCTTCATTCGAAGATCTACTGCATACCTCACAGTATGTAAGCTCTTCATTTTCCAAATTTTCTTCCTCCTCCGTTTTATCAGTAACAACTGATTTTATTTTAATTTCTCTTATAACTTCAGTACTTTCATAATTTTTACGCACTAAAATAGCAGAAAAATCCTTCCGATCAATTGGACATGTTTGCACATTTTTGGACCATTCCTCAATACATGGTGCACAAAAGTTATGTTCACAAACAGATGGTACACCAATTTCCTGTTCTCGAAAAGATATTAAACAGATTGGACACTTTTCCAAGGAATCACTATTGTCAGAACTGAAACCTTCTTCATCTTGTTTCAAAACATTACTGTTACTAGCCGAAGTTGAAGGCGCTAATTCATCTTTGTCTTCTTCGGGTATTACCGATTTTTTAAAGTTGCGACCGCGTACCGTAACTTTTTTTCGCGTTATCTGAAAATAGAAAAAAACATAATTAGTAATTGTCAGTTCATTATATTGTTTTACTTAATTTAAATAATATATTTTTCCATACTACTACTATTAATAATCTTATCCTCTTTCAAATGTTTTTAAAAAACATAAAAAAGAAAATTTTTAAATAGCCTGTTAAATAATGTTAGAGCCTAATAAATACGTAAGATTATTACACTTAATAAAAACATAACATGTTTGTTTTAAATTACATAATTGTTCAAAATCATTTCAGAAATAAATATAACGCAGAATGAATCACAAGTGACAAAGATTATTTTGCAAAAGCAACATATACACAACCTCCTCGATTTCATTTGCCTACTTCAATAGAATTTTACTTATGTTCAAATTTCATGTAGATTAAAGAAATCAGGTGAAATTGAAACGATATAAATTTGTTCAGAAAGTACTTTTTGAACAAAAAACTAAAAATTTAAATTTCGCAATTTTCAGCTAGCTTAGCCTACATTTAAATATATATTTTGTAGAATATTTAAGCTTAGATTAAGTATTTTAAGAATCAATTAAAATTAAGCATTTTAGTAATATTAATAACTGCTTCTTCAGAGATATACAGAGACCAAATCAACATATAATAACGGTCGGACATTCGAAAAGTTTCAAAAGTCATAAAATTGGAATTTGCTTAAAATGTACTTATTTTTTTGTAACAATAAGTTATTCAAAATTATTTCTCAAATAAAATTTGCTTGAAAAAAAAAACTAAAAAAACATTATGAGGTTTTTAAACCACTATTTTTGCTTAAAATTTTTTTTTTATTTTTTACCTGGAAAAAGAGATTTTCTTTTTAAAACTGCATATTTTTTATGCATTAAAGGAGGAACAATTTAAAAAAGATCACTGAACTTTGAATCAAAGGCGGATCGTATCCAAGAAATTTGCAAATTACAGCACAAAAGTACAGTTTTCCCAATATGTTTGAATTATACAAACATACAAAAAAAATTTTAAATCGAGAAAAATTTTGTATTAAAACTCATAAAGCAAACAATAAGATTAATGATAACATTGATATCGAAAAATTCACTCACTCAATCTGACTAAAGAATGTGAGCCGGTCTGCTCACTCCAAAAAAAAGAACATTGAAAACTGAATTATCTGCACATAATTACAACTAGGGTGAATAAAATTTTTAAAAACCTATTATAATTCTATTATGTCAGTTCGATTAATATAAGTAGTTCAAACCGTTAATATTGAAAAAATTAGTTCAAAATTTTTTACTACACATTCTATTGAATAAAATTTGATTAAATTTATTCAACCCTCAAAAATAGTAAGTTTTATTTGCTTGTAGGACACATATTGTTAAAGTGTAATGAAACCTTAATTGTCACCATATATCTTTAACATTTATATAAACTGAAAATTTCACTTACATTTAAATTTTGGCTAATATTTTATTAACTATTTATAATTTGTTTAATTATTCAACTATAATAATAAAATAAATCATAATATAATCATAACATAAATCATAAAATAAATTATATTAATATTATAATATTATTAAAGTTAAATTATATCAATATTATCCATATGAATTTCATATTTAATTGCATTATTTTCCTTTCTCAATATCATTCCTTTTTATAAGAATGATTTTAAGGTGGTAAAATATTCAAAATCTGACTATATAATTTAATTTCTATTGCAAATTAAATTTTAAAATACACATCAGAAATATTTACTTAATATCACTAAAAATTAAAAAAAATAAACTATCTATTCAACGTACATACATGTGCATTAAATATAGATATAGAAACTTTTTATATATAGTACATTCAATAACTGGCACATTATTACACCCGGCTTAAATAAGTTTTCCTTTTTATTATAAATAATAACAAGCATAAGTGTTTAGTTTGATTATATACTTTGCATTTCCACTTATTATACTTAGGTAAGGCACAATCAATTTCACTGTTTGCTAATCAATGTAAAAAAAATTTACAATCAATGTAATAATAATCAAGGTAATCCCACTGACGGGTAGAATATGGATAAAATTTAAAGCATATTTTTCAATAACGAAAAAAAAACAATAAAATACCATCTAAAATATAGTTATGTATTTAACAAATTAAAATAACTTGAAAATGCATTAATTGAACATTAACCTAATTTTGCTTCGTTAACTTTCATAGAAATTATAAACATTCCGGTTTATTAAAAGGGATTATATTTATTTTCCCGATCAACTGCATTTTAAGCCAACACAATTATTCTACAATTATTGTAGCCAAAATCCTTGCATTCAATTCATATTCACTATGAAGTTCAAAAATTTCAAAATGTAATTAGAATTTTTGTTTTTTTTATGGAATACATACATACATATATTTAAAAAAAAAATAGTTTCAAGTTTACGAGTTGTCTTATATTAAACACTTCTTAAGCTTTTCTTTGAAGTTTCTATTATGTGCTATAATATTTTACAATTTTAATAACACTTTTCAATATTGAATTTGTAGGTGTAAATTATATTTCTCAATACGCAAAAACGGCCAATAAGCTGAGGTGGCAAAAATTGATCGTTCAGCACAACCGCCTTGAAAGAACTTAGAAGCATTATAGACAGACAGAAAAGTAAGAAGAGGTGAGAGTATCTTTGAGACGACATAAAAAGTATGCCCGAGAAAAGATTGAGCGGAAACGGCGGCTCTATTAGCTTTGAGCACAAAGGACATCATTATTGCAGTCGCAACTTTTTTGGATGAGAAACTATTCTTACATCATTCGGACCTTTGTCGATTTTGGAAATCTGGACGTTTGGACGGAATTTCTGTTTGAACGTCTTGAAGGCCTGTAGGAGGCGTTTGTAAAGATCCAATTGGCATTTTTGAGGGATGTTGAATAGTTCACTTGAGGCGGCACCCTCTCTCTTTAACCTTTTACTACATACTACTACAACTGATATCAACAAAATTGATTAAACTCAAAGAAAAACATTGACTAACTTCAGCTTAAACTTAAATAAAAAGCAAACTGAAATGAAATTAATAATGTACAAAACTAACTTAAATGAATTTTGTGTATTTTATAAAAAATAAATTTATATAGGTACTTAACAAAAGAATTATCAAAATTTAATTTATTTTGTTTTCAAAAATTGCTAGTGATTTTTCACATACATATATAGTTTAATTGATTAAAAAACGAGTTATCACGAGTCCTAATATAAAAAATTCATATAAGTATAATTTTATTATCAAGTATTTTGTTTGTATGTACAACATATAGTTTGGGTATTTAGTAGGTATAGGTTAAATGTAACTACAATAGAAAATGTAACTGTTAGTGTTGATTATTTTTAAATATGTAGAAACTAAAGAATTTAAGGCGGAATATTAAGTTAAATATGAAATCAAAATTCTTTTTAATTTTTAGATTTTTTTTTTTTGCAAATTACAAACAAGTTTTGCACCAATAAGTATAATGAATTTTAATAATATACAAGAAACCATTACACTTGTAATTAAATATAAACCAATTTTTATAGTTTTTTTCAGATAATTCTGAAATATTAAATTTATCTCTCCCCTTATTTTTAAATAAAATTTTGCGTTTTCAATACTACACGATTATTTTTTCACATAATATTTCAAAATTACAGGAGAGACGCATTTAAAATAACTTAATTTAAAAACTAGATACAGCTTTATCCTTAATATTTAATTGCAGTTATAGCATATTGTTTTTTTAAACTAATTTTACATATTTGTGGACCTATTTAATTATTGCTCTCATTATTTTACTTATTTTATGGAATTGTTTTACATAATATATAAAATTAAAAAATTTACTTGGTATCGGTACATGTTATGTGTATGGAAATAATTTTTTTTTTTTAGAGAAACATAAATAAATTAATATATACCTACATAATTATTACTAAAATTAATATACTTAAATTTAACGAACTCAATATCTTATCAATAATTCAAATAAAAAATATAGAGATTTGTAATGAAATTAAAATTTTTGTTTACCTCCGAATCATTTGAAGAATCGCTATCTGATGACGAATCTAAAATTTTTTTATTAACACGTTTGAATCTTGCACTGGTTGATGGTCTAAATTCTTCGCCATCACTTACATCTTCACCAGTAAAATTTTCGCTTTCATCAGAATCGTCATAGTGAATGCTCATAACAATTCTGCGTTTTCGGGAGCTATTTCCAGATGTGGATGGTCCCATGTTATTTAATCTGCTAGAAGAGCTTAGCCTCGTATTAGGTTTTTGTCGTTTATTTGATTGTGAAGTTTTATAGTCGTCATCGCTGTCACCGGCGTCCATTTTTAAAATTCACAATTAATTACAAATTTAATGTTTCAAGTTTTTTATTTGTATATATATACATATGTGCATACAGATATATGTTCTCACTATTATATAAGAATACTTTAAATTTTTATTTTTATTTTATGATATAAAAGTCCAGTTTATATTAGGTTTTGCTATACACTATTTTATGTTCATTATGAAAATGTTCAACTTCAAAATTATGTATTCCCAAAAAAACTAGTTCAGTTAAAGTGGGGCCAATTTGCTCTTCAGTTTTCTACTTACTACTATAAACAATATTATGTATTTTTAAAGTTCAATAAAAATTCAAAAAGTTTTTAAACACAAATTGCACTGTTTTGTAATTTAAGCATTTTTTCAATAATTTTAAATGTAATTTTTGATATATGAGGAAAATTTCAACCATATTGTTCTATGACAAAAAATTTTTAATCGATTCTTTTAACTTTGTCAGCAGTGTTGGCTAAACGCCTTCCCAACAAACAATTTTATTGTTTAGTTGTCTACATTGGGAATCTACGCGACATCTTATGTAAAGTACTAAAACTAAATGCAGAATGAGTTTCATTGAGTCGCCTACGCTTTGTCCGCGTGCGGCTCTAGGAAAATGCATGAATAATTGCATTTGAAAAACATCTCTCACGGCACTAATGAAACTAACGACCTTTTTCAAAAATAAGACTATGTACTTTCATACAAAAAATAAAGCAACACTTTTCTATATTCTTTCCAACTAATCTGATTTTTTCCGCTTTCTTGGTATTAAATTAGAAAATGAATTAAAAAAATAAATACCCAAATAAAACATAAGAAAAAGTAAGACAAAAGAATTGCATACATATGATAAACATTAAATATCAAATGTAAAGCATGCATACAGTTTTTTCTTTCATATTATGATATGTGTGTATGTATATTTTATATGTAGAAGAATAGTTAATAAAATTATTTTCTCATTTTAATTTCTTTCTTTCTTTAATATAAAAAAAGGGAAATATGAATAAAAGAATAAAAAAATTCAAAATTACATTTTTTCTCAGTATGTTATTTATAAATTATAGGTAACAGGTATGAATAGTCAGTATGTTAAGCGACTTTTAAAAAGTTTTTCCAGCGCCTGTATAATACAGTTTCTCTATTTTTTGTTCAAAAAGTTCAAAAGCTATTGGTTCGCCAGTTTTAACCTGAGTATATTTTCTATTATTGCATGATTGCATATAAAGATATGACAATTTTCACTAGATTAAAATGTATGTAATTGTCTAGTACATTATATAAATAAGTCATAAAATAAAGGCTACCCGTCGTGAAACCGACGAACTAACAATCTAAGCACAAAAAAATACATGTAATCCATATTTAGAGAAAATAATTAAAAAACGGCAACCATGATCCCAACAACCACAGAACCTTACAATATAATTGTCAAAATCTGTCATAAATTGACTAATAGAAAAATAATTTCCGTTTCATTTTCTTTTCGGTAAAAACTATCAATTTGTCAAGATGGGTCGTATGCACGCTCCTGGGTAAAAATTAGTTTACGAATATTATTTTTATTGATATGGTTGTAAATTTTGCTTAATAAAACATGTAGAAAAGTAGTTTTCCTCTGTTAATTTATTTTGCAAGCAAAATAAACTCTCAATAACAATTGTTGATGTTACTGTTTTTAACCTCTAATATTTCTTTTATAGCAAGGGTATATCCCAATCAGCATTACCATACAGAAGATCAGTTCCATCATGGTTGAAATTAACTGCAGAAGATGTAAAAGAACAAATCAAAAAATTAGGAAAGAAAGGAATGACTCCTTCAAAAATTGGTTAGATTTTTGAAATTCTTTTTATGCAGAGTTTTAAATAATATAATTTTAGGTATTATCCTCCGAGATTCCCATGGTGTGGCGCAAGTTCGCTTTGTTAATGGCAATAAAATTTTAAGAATAATGAAATCAGTTGGACTCAAGCCAGACATTCCCGAGGATCTGTACTTTATGATAAAAAAAGCGGTGGCCATCCGTAAGCATTTGGAAAGAAATCGCAAAGATAAGGATGGTAAATTCAGATTAATTTTGGTTGAATCCAGAATTCATAGATTAGCACGTTATTACAAAACTAAAAGTGTACTTCCCCCAAATTGGAAGTATGAGTCAAGCACAGCTTCTGCTTTGGTTGCTTAATTTTATGTTAAAAAGTACATTTTAAATTGTAATTTTAAAAAGGTAAAAATACACAACCGAATGTGAAAAAACAACTTATTTTTTTTTGCTTCCACTAAAGATTATGATACGAATTGTTACGATTTTTGCAATGGATGGGCCTGAAAAAAAAAGACTAAAAAACTTTTTATCACAAAATATTTATTCAAAAATTTATTAAAAATATGGTAGTTTATTGTCTTCAGTAAAGGTTTAAAACTGCTGAAAAACACCAAAAGAAGAACTGAATCCATAAAAGCTATTATTTGCCCTCACGAATTTTTTTTATTCCTCGTGTGCCTAATATTTTCATTACCCTGTAATTGAATTCGTTAGAATTGAGAATTAATATTAAATTATACATAAGTACGTTTGACTATAAATTCTCTTTACAAGAACTTACATTAATCTCAAATTTGGAAAATATTGAGTAATATACAATAATAAAGATACTGGGAACAATCCGACCCATGATTGATACGTTTTGTTTGCAAGGGCAACGGCAAATAAATGTCCACAACGTTCTGCTGTCATTCGTCGGTCATCACTTGCAATGCGCTCGCCATATTTCTACAAGTCTAAAATGTAATAAAAGTAAAGAAATGAAACCAATTCACCTTATTTGGATCCGCAGTAAAACTTTCTTGAAGGAAATCTGTAGCTATTGGTCCTGGGCAAAACACAGTAACATCAATTTTTTGTTCTTCAACTTTCAATGAAGCAAAGTAACCCTTAAAGAATTATAATATTTTATCTTGATTTAAATAGGCAAAGTACTTATATTTATTTAAAATTGAAACTATTACAGTTAAAAAACTACTAAAGTTTTTGAAATATTAAAAAACTATTACTCATTCTATATTAAAACCTTAAAAAACTATAGAAAACCTAAACCAAATTTAGTAAATATAAAACAAGGCAATAGCTACCAAAGTTTTAATTATCGCTGAAAGTCAAAATAAAAAATTGTTTAAATAAAAAATTACATGTAACGCATGTTTAGCACCACAATAGCTGGCTGAAAATGGGAGTGCAGTAAGTCCTGCTCCACTAGAAGTTATTGCGATATGTCCTATACCACCAGCACACTGTTTGAAATATCTAACAACAACGCGAGATAAATTAATTACTGAAAAAACATCCAACTCAAAAAGATCTCGATCTACTTGGATATCAATTTTATCCCATTCGGCACGTTGTGATCTTCCAGCGTTATTAACCAATATATCTAATTTCCCAAAATGGTCAATCACATTTTTAAAATGATCTTCGTGCTTATCTATATCCAGCATATCCATTTTTAAAATTAAAATATCATCTCTAGCTAAAAGGCCATGACAGTTATCTAAACATTCTTCTTTCACTTTTATTAATTCATTTTCACGTCGGGCAGATATAACCAAACGAACTCCATATTTTGCCAAATCTAGAGCCAAATATTTGCCGATTCCACTAGAAGCCCCAGTAATCCACACGACCTTACCTCGAAGGGATGCTGTAAAAATTTTATAAGGTTAAGTTTTATTTGTTTTGTTTTTATTGAAATCGTTTTGCAATACGAATATTTATTAAAGTATACGTACAGAGAGGTTGACCAAATTTTTCTTTTACAGCCAACTCTATGTCTGAATCAAGTACTATCCATAACATCAAGTTTATTATGTAATAAAGTAAAACCACTATCCCAATTAACTCCAAAATATTCATAGTGACCTATGCGCTAATCTACACAATACTAGACAAATATTCAAATATTGTAGATCTATTATCTTTTCGACAAGATAAGAAAATTTTTCAGTTGCTTTTTCAATTAATTTTTCGCTAACACTATTTATATATAGAGCTTTTTAAAATACGCAAATATGTAAATATTTGTATAAAAACTTATTAGAACTGGTTAAAAAAAAAGTATTTATATCCAACTTGTTTTAGAGGGATCATATTCCAAAATACGTATCCAATGTACCGTATGTACTTTTGTTTATTGCTGCAAGTTGCGATTTCGTTTTATTATCATCTAATGTTTTTCTTTTGTTTTTGCTTTTAGTGCAACATAAATGACAGCTAATTTTGACAAACAAAAAATGGAAATCTCATTACGTTATATATGTGTCAGGTTCCTATTGACTTATAAATGCAAAGGCCTATTCGACCACCAGCAATTTGAAATTTCAAAGATGATTACAAATAATACTCTTTTTTAAATATCACATATTTAATATTTTAGATTATTAAATAAAGTGTTGTAAAAAATTTCATGCTACGCAAAAATAAAATTATTCATCACCAAAAAATATGCATTGAAATTTTCAAATAACGATCATCTAAATCCAAATGTTTTGTTCGTTATTTTGGTGAATTAACTTTGTAGACCCTGCCAATGCTGGGTCATATAAATAATATCATATAATTACATTATTATAATTTATTATATGATATTATTTAAATAAATAAAAATAAATATGTTATTCGTGTTATCGCAGAATAAAAGAAATTCGCCAAATAAAAAATTATAGTTCATCGAAATTTTTCTAATCAATCTTTTTAAAACATTATATGTGTAAAATTAATGATATGTAAATAATTTAAATGATATTTGTTTATATTGTATACTAACTGTTACAAACATTTTGCAATTGTCCAAGAAAAAACCTCCTGTAAATTTTTTGTGTGGCAAAAAAATTATTAAAACTATACGTACTTTTCTCTATTTTATGCTGTCATATTTCTATCTTGAACAGATTTCATTACAAAGTACTATTAGACAGAACTAATATATAATGTAGTTAACAAAACAATTAACTTTTAGTGATAATTTTTTTGTGTTGAATTAATTATTGAATTATTATTTAGAAACAAAAACTCTTTTAGTAATTTTTGGCTGTACTTTAAATTAACCGATTATGTTTCAATATTTTCTGGCAAACCCGATTCAAGATAAGGAATGAACACCACTAGTCACACCACACTACAGCAAATTACAACACGACAACCGAACGCCACAAATAGCAGTAAATGTGTGTTTCTTGTTTTCATTTATATCTTGCACATTTTCTTAATTATTGTCAGTCAATAAAAAATTTGGTGCTTTAACGGTTTATCATCTTATTTTAAGAGGTTAGGGTTATTTTATTCGGGTTTTTATTTCTTTTTGGTGCTAAAACTAAATTCATTTAAAAAAAAATTAATTTTTTCCTATTAATCATCAATTCGAAAAGAAGTGTTTCTAAAAAATAAAAATTAATACTTCACTTCATTAACACACATCAGAATCCGTAAAGTTGGAGTTTACGTCACAAGTATTTTATATAAGAATTAATTTAAGAATATTTTTTTTTTTTTTTACTAAAAAGATGTTAAAAAAGGTATTTAATGTTAATATTTAAAAAATATTAAAAACAAGAATGTAAATTAGACTGTTCAATAATTTAAAAAAAAATATTTTGGTTTGTAGGTAGGTGCATACCTTATTTGATTCATACCTACAAAAGTTAAAGTGTGAAAATGTCATTTTTGAATTAATTTGAAAAGTTAATAAAGGTCAGTTACTATATAAAAGTGAAAAAATTTTTATAAATTTTCTTGCACACGCATATACATTTACATATAAATATAATTTCAATTTACATACATATGTACATATACAAAGTATTTATCAAACATAACAGCGAAAAGAGCAAACAAACTTAACAAACGCCAAAATCAATACGGAAAACTTCAAAAATTTCGATAAAACTAAAATAACATAACCTATATAATATTGTATCTATTGTACATATAAATGTATTATATACATTATATGCCTTATGTAGGTAAAGGGCATATTTTATTTTACAAACTTATTCAAATGAAATAGAAAATAAAGTTAAGACTATTATGAAACAAATTAGAAAAACAAAATTCTTAATTATTTTTTCCAAAGTTATATAAAATGTATTAATTTTGAGTGTAAATTAATGTGGTTATATTAAAAATAACAAACCTAATATAATATTTCATCCTAAATGAAGAAATTAACTCAATAGCAATCGAACTTTTATAAATAGAATAATAATTTTCATTACCAATCGTCTGAAGAACTAAAGGAGGAGAACGATTATAAGACGTTAACATTTCATATTATTATTTTGCTTATGGATTTTATTACACTTCACATATAATAAGTAAGTAGAATAATGAAAAAGAATATTATTAGAGATCACGTGTATTTTAAGTACTTAATCAATATGAAATAAAAATAAAATTCTATAATTAATGCCATTTTCATTGTCTTCTTTGTTCAATAAACTACTTTATAGCAATATGTATTTTATGTAGGTACATATGTAAATAGATAGTTCAATATTTAAATAGCTACGGTTGCCGTAAATTATTATTTTACAATATACTTACATATGTATGTACATAATATAGGTACCAGCCGTTACGATACGGAAAATTAAATTAAGAGTAATGGGAATGTAAATAGGTAAATCCCTATATAAAAATTTAGACATAGGATTTATATAGGAGCCAAATTTATATTAATATGTAAATCGAACTGTACTTTATGTACTAATGCCGGCAAAACTAAATAAATATATAATCATAAAAAAGAATTATTAAATATTAGAGGAAAAATATTAATAAATGATATTATATTGTAATAATCGCTACTATTCAATAGATATTCGAAAAATCTCGTTAAAACTAAAGAATTGAATCTTAAAAATAAATTCGGTCTACATTTAGAAAAATCATATCCATAAATTTTATACAACATTTTGTTTTGGAAAAACCATTTATATACACATATACATACATATTTATCTAGCATGTAATACTTTTTTTCACAAGTGATTCATACCAATTTAAATAAAAATATTTAAAATCCGCGTTTTGACCCGTTAATTCATAAACTTTTAAGCTTTCAATCAAATTGTTGATTGTTGCTTATATATAAACGGTTCAATGAACACCCACATTTAAAAAAATTTAAATACTTACTATCTAAACAAGCAACTATACCTACCTATCAATTTACTTGTAATAAAATAATAGCACATAATCGACTTAAAAATCTTCTTAAATAAAATCTTTTTTTTTATTCAATGATAGACATGAATAATCGCTTTCATATACATAAACATATATGTATATTAAAAAATGATAATTTTGTTTTTCTCAAAATCAAAAAAAAAAAATTTAATATCTCCAAATATTTAATAAAAACCAAAATTAAACTGCAAAGTAATGAGTACAATGAACATATAAATTAAAAATTTATTTATTTACAAGTAATCAATCAAAAATAATAATTTTAAGAAATGTGAAATTAATTGATACATAAGCATTTAATAAATAATATATTATTAATATTTTTCTTTTATATAATGCTATAAGTAGCTAAGTATGAACTTATATGAAATCATTGAATTTAATTGATTTTTAAAAATATATGCGTTAATTGTAATTATTAATAATTACTTACCTTACTAAGTAGTTACTAAAGTATACTAAAATAAAGTTGAAAATCTTCGGATAATAAGTGCGGCAAATGTTTGAACTAGGATAAAAATGCACGCCTGTATCTTAAGTTCAGCTGAACCGACTTTAATCAACCAAAATAGTACCCCATTTTAAATTTTTTACCATATCTACGGAACTAAATGATGGAATTTCTTGAAATTTAATATTTAAAATTAAGTACTGCTGGTTATCGAAACTAAATGGTGAACTTTTCAGGAAATTCAAATTGCGCAAAGCGAAACACCAGAAAGATTGAAATTTACGTTCTTAGAAGAATGTTAACTAAAACCTTACATGTATCCTTAAAATTGTAAAGAAGCGGATTTTTCATAATCTTCTGTAACACTTTAACTAAACTACTAACATTTCCAATATGTAAAATCGACCAGTTATTTTTGCCTATAAAACCAACTTTTAAATTCATTCTAAATTTAATCAAAAGCTGTCTAATTGTTACAATACTAAAATTTTTTACAAAAAGAAGTTGGTAAATTGGCTTTATTAACATATAAGTATATAAATACGGAGCTATAAAAAAGTTGATTTGTGTGAAAATTGTTCGCTTATAATCAAAAATGACTGTGTAAGTTACATATTTTTTTTAATTAAAATTAAATGTTCCAATATAGTTAAATTTTAATTGATTTTTAAAAATGATGACAAACAGAATTTTTAAATTAAAAAGATAATCAAATAAACTTTAAATAGCTTAAAAAGCAGTGTGAGTTTTTATATTATCGTATAAAATGTACTTGTAGTTAAATTTGTTATAAATTATATAGTTTTATGTATCTAAAACATCTATGTATATGTAGGTAACCTAAGCTTCTTCCCAGATATTGCTTGTATAAGTACGTAAACACTTGATAATGTTTGTACCCTATAGTGTACCCTATAAAAATTCTAAATATTTAGTAATTTATTGTCATAACATTGTAATTAACTTAGTAATTACAAAAATAGTTTTTATTGTTAATAATATTTTATTACTTTTATAAAAATGACTGAGTATATATGCAATTTCACTGATAGAAAAGTTAAGTATACTCATTACAGGGGTTACCAAATTAAAAATAAAATTACAAATCGAAAAACTTGTTAGTAATTTAGATTGTATGAGTGTGTCAGTACTTAAATTTTAATATTAAAGAATTGGGGATTTTAGATAATTCAGATATTCGTTAAGTTCTAACTTATATATTAAAGATATTTCTTTGTATCATTACAGATTTACAGGACCTAGCTGATTTACTTTTTTAGATTTTCAATATCTAAATTTTTTTCGTTTTAGAATTTTAAGCATGCTATACGATTTTCGAACGTGTTTCTTTTGTAGTAAAGATAAAACAAGCTACATTTGAAATTTTTTTTAGTTTTGGTTTATCGAATATGCTTTATAAATATTAAAAGGTAAAATATATTTGATAACATACTGGTTTGCATAGGGTAGTCCTTTGCTCATACGTTTAAGAATCTCTAGAATTTGAGAACCCTGATGTCATTGAGATAATTTGAATTGTTTTACAATTTACAATGATATTAATTTTTTATTTTATATATAAAAGTTTGTTCTTGAATTAGACAAAACGATTTTATTTATTTTAGAATATTTTAAGAGCATATTGACAAATAACGTATTTAATAACGGAAGTTTTCAAAAAATCATTTGTTTCATAACATTAAACTTGAAAAGCTAAGTATGTATATGTATATACAACAACGTCTTCATAATACGAGTAGTTAAATTCAAATATATAAATATTATTTAACAAATAATAATATTATAAATGCAATAGTTAAGTAACTATTATTATTTATTAAATAAAAAATATAGAAACAATAAATTCATCAAAAAATAAATACAAACTGGAAAAGATCACGTGACTATTACTTGTTAAGTCTTCGTTTCAACTTAGATATAAGAATGTATTATAAAAATGAATACATACATTCGCACATGTATTTATAAAAAATTACAAACAAAATCAATTGAAATTTTATCAATATTGTTTATATACTGAAAATTAATTTGCATGACGATTTCTATTAATTCTAAAATAACGACATCATATTAAAATAATGTTTATATAATATACGTATACATATATACTTATATAATATATTTATAACAACAATTATGCCTTAAACATACACAAAAATAAGGCTTATAACACTGTAGTATAAGGTATTTTTAGAAAGAAGTTTCTTATGCTAAATAATAAATAAAAATAAGCACGTAATTTGATTTTCGTAATGATTAGATTAGATATAGTGGAGTGATTCAAAAAGTATTTTTTGAATATTATATGTGTAGGTAGATACAGAGTGGCGGGATTCATTGTTTTTATTTTGAAAATTATTTCAAGGCTGACTGACATTACGAACATAAGCAAAAATAATTGACATAAGCCGTTAAAGTCAATATGGAAAACGACCTTTTCTATTTAGTACATTTTCCCCTTAAGTCGTAGGCAAACCGAATTTTGTAAGACGTCTGTTTTGAAAACCGTGAAATCGAAGCAATAAGTACAATTTCCAATTTTTACCAAGCAAAATAATTTAGTAAAATAACAATTTTTAAGGATTTTTTTTTTTAAATAATTTTCTGTTACAATTATTTACCTACATTAATTTTACCTTTTTAATCAGATATTTTAATTTCTAAGTTTTGTGAAGAATATATAAAATCGCTGATATTATAAGGAAGACTTTGTCCAGGCGCATTCGATACAAATAGACTCACAAATATATTAATAAGAATATATTTATTCAAATATGGTTCAATAATTATAAGTAAATTTTTGGAATCCAAATGGAAAATTTTATAAAATTAACTTGCATACTTAATTGTTATTTGTTAGTTATACTGCATAAAAAAAAAGTAGGGTAATCCAAAAATCACAAAAAATATTTTATGATAAAGAAAATTGAATGATTTTATGCTTGACCTGATAATTTGTAATCAATAGACTATTGAATTTTCATGGTCAGATAATATTGACCTAATCCATAAATTTGAAATTACCTGATACCACATTAAAATATATTAGATATTGTTAAACAGTATTAGGATTAAAAGGATTGTGTAACAAAATTTTCATTACAAGATAAAATTTTGTAAAATTTTTGTTTTAAAGTAAAATTTTATGGAAAATTCATGAATTCCTTAACATTAATTAGAACAGTTTTAATTATTATTAAAATTTTTACTTAAGTTTATGAAAGTGAAATTTTGTATACGATTAAAAAGTTGTACAATTACAAAAATTGTTACACAAGAAAAAATAAAATTTTAGAATAATGAAGTGAAAAAAAAACTCAATTTTTTTTTGTTTATGTGGTAGAACATTTAATTTATAGCACTATAAGAGTATACATATACAAATATGTATATACTGTAGAAAACTATAAACTACACAATCCAATATTATATTTACTTTAATGAAAATTTATGTTTTTTTTTCAAACGCTATTTCAACGTACATTGAATTTTCTGCTTTAAACTTTTTATCGGGTTCTCATACAAATTCATCTTATATGATGAAGAAATAATAATAACGTACAATTTTTATATGCATTATAATTATTTATGTAGAAAAATGTATATAATTATTCTTTATTCTTACATTTCTATAAAAAATATTCTCGCTAGGAC